ACCCGGGCGGGGTAGCTGTGCCCGGGGCAGCGATGGGGGTGGAGGGCGCTTTGGCTCCTGGTGGCCATTGGCTTCTTTTCTTTTTTAATTGTACTTCTTTGTTCTTGCTCGTGCCTGTTGCACGGAGCCCTAATTTAGGAGGAGTGGGATCTGAGAGGTGTTAATAATCGTCATTGCGTTAAAACACCTGGTTTTGTTTGACTACCGGTTCTAGCACGAAACTGGAAATGCGGGGAATTCCCCGTTCTCACGTGCAGGCCTGAGCTGCACGAACTTTCTGTGCTTGTGGGTCACAAGCCCCTGGTGGAGTTTGCTCTGGAAAGTGGTGTATGAAACAGAACCGTGGTCCGTAGTTCTATGGTGTTGCTGCTGGCTGTGCTGTCGTTGCTGTGCTCTAAGTAACACTGTGGAAAACAACCTATCCAGTCTTTGGAGACTGCACCGTCAGGCTCAGCATTGGAAGGTTGTGGAATAATGTGTATCACATCATCAGATTGATAGCATGAGTGAGCCAGATATTTTGGAATTGAGTTTAACTTCCTAATCTTTGTGATTAAAAAGAGGTAGTTTTGGAAAATAGGAGATCATATTTTAAGTTCTGTGAAGTCAAACTTTATGGAAAGATTAAGTCTTTGTAATTAAAACACATTGTAAAACCTATATAATTGTGTGAACAAACACATTCCTGAAATGCATTTTCTGTCCTCTGTAGGAGAAAACCGACATAGAAGGGACCTTATTTGTGTATAAAAGGTAAGGGTTGGTTTGTTGTTTTGGGTATTTTTGGGATAGGGAGGGATTTCTTAATAAAACAAACTTCAGATGGCTTCATGTATAGCTTTCTTAGTCATAATCACTTAGTTGTCCTGCTGTTAACATCTGTATACTCACTCAACAAGAATAAATTCTGACATAAGTGAATAATTCTGTCAAAAAAAATACTGCTGAAAAATCATAAGACTTGGTGAGTGCTGCATATGTATCCACATCAAAACCTGGTTTATAGAGCTTCTTTTGTTAGTCCCATAGCATTTGCTAGTGCATTGAGTTCATTAATGCTGAGTTGTCCTTTGTCTCCAAAAATCTGTGAAGTTGATTATGAAAATAATAGAGATGACAAATTACATAATTTCTCCTAACTTACTGCTGGTAAATGGCATAAATTTTTGTCAATGGATCCAGTTGCCCAAGAGCTGGAGGTCTGCTAGTGTTTGGTGGTTTTGTCATCAAAACCATGAAAGAAGTTTCCTGCTCTGTCAGATTGAGAAAAGGGCTGAGGGGGAGAACTGACACAGGAATCCAATCATGAATTTAAGTTTTAAATTACAGGCAAATAAAAAATCTAAATGAAATAACACTTTGTGGAATGTAAGAAATAGAAATAATGCAGACTTAACCCATCCTGAAACAGATTGTCATAGCTAGGTCATGTTAATATTTTATCCTGGCACTGTGAAGAGATATGGATAACCAGTTCATGTCTAATTCAGCTCCAAGCCTGGAAATACTAAGTGCAAGGAAACCAACCAAACTGCACAGCCAACAAACTAATCAAAAGGTTTCAGTGTAACCAGCTGATGATTTCAAACAAGTTCAGTTAGGTGCATTCTAAGTCTAATTCTTGATGGTAAGGATTGTTTACCCTGTGCTTGGAAGCTCTTGACACATCTAAATTGTTGACCATTAGATAAAAGTGGCCACATTGTTACAAGAATCTTAATGGTTACTAGCAAATTCTGTCTGATTTTACTCTGCCTTTGTTGTGCTGCTGTTGTTGATTATATGACTCCTTACAGGCACAGTTGAGTATGTTGACATGACACTTATGCAGCAAGTGAAAACAGCTCTAAAACTTGAACTTCCAGTGCTTAGTTGGTGTTTTTTTCCACCTGGTGTCTAGCAAAAGTCGAGATAATTAACATTGTTTCACTAAGCAATACAATTCTGAATAATTTAAAGTGTGTACCTGGAGGGCAGTGAGTTAAGTCCTTATTTTCAGAGTCTTCCTTTAGGAAGAAATTACTGCTTACAGTTCCCCTGTAAGTGTATTTCATGCTATTTAAGACAGCAGCTCTTTTTCATTGTTGTATCCGTTTACAGTAAGGTAAATGTTGCTGCATAAGTGGTTTGGTTTTTCTCCTCTAATAAAAAATTCTAAAATGTTTCAGAACTATCTTATGCCAAGTACTGAATCCACTTGCATTTTAATGCTGGACCTGTCCTAGTTATTTTTTAATAGATATTTTTGGAGGTGTGTCTTTGATTCAGCAGTTTAACAGTGTAGAACTGTAACGTTAATCCTAATCCTGCTCTGAGCTAAGTGTAGTTTGAAATTGAAATTAGGTGGCAGGCCAAGAAGTGGCATAGAAGAACATCTGTGAGAGCTTCAGGACTGCTAAAGCTTCACCTAACAAAGCAATGGACGTTTGAAGATTAATTCATAACTTAGTTTCAGAATATTATTGATGCCAATGAAGGTATTAATCCTTGGTTTTGTTTTAACTGAAACCACAGGTCAGCTTCTCCCTACCACGGTTTTACGATAGTGAATCGACTGAACATGCACAACCTGGTTGAACCAGTAAATAAAGATTTGGAGTTCCAGCTCCATGAACCTTTCCTTCTCTACAGAAACGCTAGCTGTGAGTAAAACTTTCTCTAATCCATATAAACTTCAGGTTCTGTTTTACAACCTAGATCACTTCTGATTGCTGTTTCAAGTCTGTTTCAAGTACAGTGTAATGGGGCAGGTTCCAGTGAAATCTCTGGTGATGTTTTCTGTCTGCAGTGCTAAATTGCATTAAATAGCTATGCTAGTACATTATGATCCCCACATGCTTGCAATAAAAAGAATGTACTGTCAAAATCCAATATTGCCACGTTCCTTTTTAATTAATGATGGGATAGGTTTAATCTAAACACATAGATGGTGCTATCGAATTAAAAAATAAGAGAATAATGAAGATTGATAGATTCTGAAATTATTTAGCATCAAGAACAGTTCTAAGGGCTTCCTCTTGCTGGTGAAAAAATTATTAATCATTAGCTGCTAGAAGAAGTTGAGAAAATGGCTCAGCTCTAGGTTAAAGGTTTCTTTCTCCACAATAGGTTTTGGACTCAGGAGACACTTGTCCCCTAAATTAGTTAGAAAAAACCAAATTACATGATTTAAATGCTCAGTGTTAAAGCTGTTTGCCTCCATCTACACAGTATTCATGAAACTTGGAAAAAAGAAAACTAAACCAAAACCCCTTCAGGACTGATTTGGATTTGCAGACAAATTTTAGCATGTGTATGTTTTATTTGTATGGGTAGATTAGGAGATTCTTGTCCAAGTTCTCTTCATGCAGAAGGATGTCTATTTTGCTCAGTTCTCTGCTGGCATGAAAAACTTTTGTGTTCTTGGGACTAATTCAAATGGGAGCATTAAGCCAGTGGTTAATGTGAAGTGTGTCTCTAAGGGCTTAATGTGGTGTGTCTCTAAGGCTTATATGAAGTTGTTCTGAGATCCCCTAATGACTGAAGGAGGATGGACTGTTGTGTGAGGAAGAGCTGCCTCCTGTATGGTGTTGGCAACAGCCTTGTTTCTTGTAGAGTGTTTTTTTATATCCATCTTGAAGAAATCTACTGTGATAATTAGAAACTCAAGAGGAAGATGTCCTGTTAAGATTGTTGAATGACTGAAGTGATGATTCTGTTTCCTTAGCTTGCAGATGGGGAATGGTTCAGACTACCTGATAAAAACCTGTTTATTAATACTGCTGTTTGGCAGAGATAAACACATTTTGTGCCTGTATAGTTAGGTTGTAACAGGATCAATGACAAATTGAGATTTATGCTTCACCAGGGCATGGTAGAAATAGTAGATGATGATCAGAGCAAAATGATATCACCACATATTTTGGGATGGTTCTGTGTCAACAGTATTTATAACCAAATGTGATACTACTGTTTTATAAACATCATGTTTTCGCATTGTTCTGGGATTCTGTCTTGACATGAGATAATAAGGGCCAAGTCTGTTATGTACACCAGATCAGACCTCTGGCACTTCTGTCTGTAACAGCACAAGAGCTGTTCTGAGGATATCCAGTACTGTACTGCAGTCTTTGCAGAGCTGCTAACAACTTATGTGAGGAATTTTGTGAGCAGTACATAAACATTATTTTTGCTTGGCTGGAGGCTGCAGCCATGATTTGCCTGTCATGCTAGATCATAATATTTTGGTGGGGTTTTACCATTCTTTTGTAATTTTATTTCTGCAAATACTTATTGTTCCAATATAGTGAAATTGTTAGTTTGCTGCATAGCAGAACTTACTTTTGTTAAGCTGAACACATGAGATGCTTTATCCAGTTGCACAGAGGCTTTTTCATACTATTAGATCAAGACTAGGTAATTGCCATTTCTTCTCATGGGAAATTATTGACTTACCTTTTATAGCTGTTGGGGTGGTGTCCTGTTTGTGCAGGATGGGATATGAAGGAAACTTTTAAGGGTATTCTGGGAGGAGAATAGGCCAAGTGATATAGTACCTTTCTTATATCTACCCTTTGGTGTGTTCTCTGAGTGAAATGGAAGGCATTTGGGTCAATTTGTTATTCACTATTCTGTGAGGTTTTTCCCCCACCCCAGTCATACATTTTTCATATTTTAGTTGTTGATGGGGAAGTCTTTCTCAACTCCAGAATTTTTGTTCTCAAAATTATTCTGGCTGCATAATATGGTTCAAGCTCCAGAAGAATACTGAACCCTGAAATTCTGAGAAAGGCTATGTCTACCTTAAAAGTTGGCTGTAATGCTGTCCCAAAACTGAAACCACTTATTCATGAGGCATCAGACACTAAAGGAAAAGTGATAGAGGGTGTGATAGAGCTGTGAGACATTATACCACTTACAGTGGTAAATACAAAAGGTTTTGTACTTTTCATTGTTATAAAGGAATTAAAGAAAGCAAATATCTCCAAACATGAACAAATCAAGAAATTACCAAATTGAAAAGAGATTGTTTGACTGTGACATATTTACATTTAGAATTCCTCTTAAAAGCTAAATAATTTTGTTTATATTTCATACTTAATGTGTCATTATTTCTTAGTCTGGAATATGTATTGCTGGATACATTTGTTCCTTGTTGGACTTTTGCTCTGTACACATGTACATTCTTTAGAGTATTCCTTGTATTTGTTCATGAAGCACTGAATCCCATTGACCTATTTTTTTAAAAGAACCTAAGCTTGTTTTCTCTTGTCTGTGTTTTGTGAAAAGCACGTTAAACTCTGTGTCAAAAATGCACACAGGTCTGCCAGTAATGGTAATAAAAGTCCTATCTGAAAACTCAGTACTTCCTTTCAATCTGTAGTGTGAGAATTTGAAGCTGATAGTGAATAGTTTGCTTAATAATAGAGGAAAATTAGTTTTGAGCAATGGCCAACTTACCTCTCAAAGTGTGCAGGATGAATTCCTCTGAGCCTCTCTCATTTATAACTTTCCCTCTGTATCGGTGGTGTTGGTCTTGATGAAAAGGCTTTTTAATCCAAGCCAGTTCCCTTGGGAGGTCAGGCAGGTTGATTTCCATGGTGCTGAAAAGACAGATGCTTAGCATAAAACTTGGGTATTAAAATAAATGGTCCATGCTTCGTGTGAGGTTTTTGTTTGTGGTGAGTTTTGGTTTATTCTTGCTTGCTTCTTATTCCTGCTCGAGGTAAGAGTTAGTAAAAAAAAAATAATAATGGATTTTGGACAGGTTTATACATTTAAGTGGAGAACTCAGTTGCAAAGTGCTGTCTTCTGGGCTTGTATTATCATAGATGAGAACAACTTGTATTCAGAACAACAAAAGCGAAATGAGTTGCATTAAAAGCCTTTGAAAGAGCTCTTGGCTGGTTACAAAACAGGGAACGTTTACTGGTAAGGAAAGTCTCTCCTTATCACCTGTGTTCCTGCTGGCAGTGCATTAAGCGTAATGTATCTCTGTGATTGCTGAGGCTGACTGGCTCTCCAGCAAGAGCATTAACCCAGTGCTTTTGTCTGAGATAAGAAAGGAGTCTGTTTTAATATCTTTATAGCAGAAGCAGCCATGCAGGCTGGGGGAGGGGAGGAACGATTGGAAACTGCTAAGACGTTCTAAAAATACGTAGTTTGACCTGAAAGATGACACTTTGACTGCAAGGGGGTTTCTGCCATGGTTCAGCGTTGCGGAGTAGCAATCCTTCTTATTCCATGCAGTGCTGTCAGATGGCAGTCTGTTAAAATGTTCCTGATCTTGGATGCTGTTTGCCACCTGCTGAAATACTCCAGTGCTACTGCTTGTGGGAGTGTGCTGTGAGCTGTGTTTGTGAAATGGCCTTAGATACTGAAAGCAGTAAGAAAGGGAGGATTTTTTTTGTTCATTCTAGTGGTTTATAGGTTTATGTGGCGGGGTAATATTTATATAGAGGAAATAAGTGTACTGAATGAGGAATGCCAGTGAAGGAGATGCTAGAGCCAAGTGACTGAGGAGAGGTGTTTCAGCTAATGTTGCTGCTAGAAGAAATGGGTGCTTTGAGAGAGCTTTATGGGATTTTACCTCAAAGTATTTGAAGTGTAGAGTTATGCATATATATGCAAATGATGCATATATGTGCTTTTCTTTATGAGTGTGAGATTGTGTTGTTTTCCATTACCTTATAGAAGGCATTTCAAAATAGAAGTCTTTTCTTTCCAGAGTTTGAAAGGTTATTGCCCTTCACTTCCAGTTGTTCTGCTTCACTGTATGGAAACATCTAAACTGGAACTGTAAAATAAAACTTCTCTCTTTTATCAGCTCTTGAAACTCTTGAAAGAATTGCAGTAGAAAGGTCCCATTTGACATAACAACCATATCAAATATAGTAATGCAGTTGAGACACACACACTGCTGGGGTAAGGGAGCTGAACTGATAGTAAGTGAGTCCTCCTTTGGAAAGAGGAAGGTAAGCATTCCAGGCAGTTGGACCATACCTAAGTTAATGCCTGAGTTTACTTGTTCATAATCTGCTTTACATCTTTGTATTATTGTTATTGTTGTGCAGTGGCTCCCTGTGATTGCTTGCCAGTAGTACAAAGTACTACTGTACACCAGCCTGAGATTTGGATCTAGTTCTGGTCTTGTGTAGGCCTGTTTCTGGCAGAACTGAGTGTGACTTGTATCATTTGTCCCATTAAGATATCGTTATAGGTTCCTTATCTTCATTTCTTCAGCAACTATGCTTTTGAAGCAGCTTTCTGCTCTTGGCAGTTTGCTTGATAATGAAGTCAGGGAAGGGAAAGACCTTTTTTTCAGTGCTGAAATGTGTTATGTGACTAAAGAAGTAGCTCAAATTGAAAACATTTACCAGTTTCTATGCAGCAGACAATCCAGTTGTATTAAACTGTAAATTTTAGCAGAAGCATTTAACAAGCATTTGCTACATGTATGAAATGCTCTTTTTTTTGGCTTGTGTCTTCTGTGCATTGATTTCTTTGACTTGAAAAGCTTTGTTGTCTGTTACTTAAGTTGAAATCTCTCAAGCAACAAACACCCAAACAAATACTGTTGTTATTTAATGAAAGAAAATGAAGCACAGAACTTCAGTTTGTCTTATGATGTCATTGTAGAAATGAGGTGTGGACATGACTTGTTGAGGATTTTAGCCCAACAAAGTAAGCCTAGGATAACTGGAAGGTCCAGAGAAAAAGCTTGGTAAATAATTACCTCTTTGCCATGAATGATGTAATTTTGAGTGGGCTTTGGCTGAGGTTTCTAAGTGTTTTGAGGAGGAAAATAAAAGTGGGAAAAGGTAAGAAAAAGATTGTACTTTGAAATAAAAATCTGCATCTGTCTGGAAATGCTTGTGTAAGTTTTTTTAACCTTCTTTCCTCACTTTAAATCATCGTTTTATAATCAGTGATTCCAACTTCATAAAAACATTGGCCTGAACTGCAGTGTGAACATGAGTTTTAACAGGCTAAAAGCTTTTTTCCAGAAATTAAAATACTTTAATTGTAGCGTATTTAAAGTGTCCAGTTGCCTTTGATGTACTCACACATTGTGCATTTACAACTTCAAAGGTGAACTAAGATTTAAAATAATCTGCGTTGTGGGTTGGAGTCAATACACTTCTGAAAAGAGTTCTGCAGCTTTGTTGTGTTGGCACAGCTGTGGAGACAGTGAGAGGAGCCTCTGTGGGTAACATGGCCCCTTGGAAGTGTGACTGCAGGTGAAGCAGCAGCACATGGTCCTACTGACAAAGTTGCTCCCTCTGATGGAGTATCTTTAGCTCAGTGTTTGGGCTTGAACTCTGCCAACTTTCTGTGGAATTTTACTTATTCTTGAAGCCAGAGTGGGGCTGAGTGTCTTGCTGAGCTGGAACCCTTTTGCCCTCACTGCTTTGCCCTAGACAGCTTCGAAGAGCAGGAGTCACCAGGAGTCTGGTTTTAAACTGCTTCATGGATGTGACAGTGTGGTTGGAGCTTTGGTACCGCTTCCTGTACAATTACTTCTCTTACCAAAAGAATGTGGAGAGGGAACCTTCCAGAGAAGCCTCTGAATGAACTGTTGTATTGTAATTAGAACTTTAATATTTTTGTTGACCTTCAAAAATTGACAAATTTAAAAATTAATGGGTTTTTTTAAGAAATGGATATTCTCTGGCCTAGTTGAAAGTCAGTAATTCAAAACAGAAGGTTGCAATTGTAGTGAGAAGGCATTGCTAGTTTAAACTTCATTTTTCTGCCACTTCTATTTATAAGCAGCATCAAGATTTTGTAGTTCTTGCATTTAATCTGACTGAAGTTGTATTTGTGTTTGCACATGTGCTAGTTCTAATTCCTTTACGAATAGTAGGTGGTGACACAGTATTGTGATGGAAATTGATGGTAATTCACATGTTGCCGGTCTGATGGACTACTGTTTTTTCCTGTCTAATTTATCTTACACTTGCTTTTTTCCCTTATTTTTCAGTGTCAATTTACAGTATTTGGTTTTACGACAAGAATGACTGTCACCGGATAGCAAAACTCATGGCTAAGTAAGTACTGGGGCCTTGCTCTGTCCTTGTGTTATGCAATAAAGGAAAGAAGTGTGAACCTATTAAGGGTGTGTGGTTTTTTTCTCACTCTCCTAAAACCCAAAAATGCAAGGTTTTTGCTGGTACCAGTGTTTTCCATAATGAACATACTAGTTTTGTTTTTCTTAAAAACTTCAGCATTAAAATTTTCAGTTAAAGAATAAAAAAATCAGTTGAAGTATTAGTTGTCATTCTCCAAAGAAAGCAATATGAACACTTTATTATTTTATGTTTTATCTTGCATAGGGATGCTGGCAAAAGATCAGATGCAGAAAGTGTAATGAAAGAAATGATGGCGGCGTCTTCTCATTGGCTTTGTGGTTGGGTTTGTGGTGGCTGGTTTTTGTTGGGGTTTGTGGTTTGTGTTTTTCTAAGGCTTAGTTATTATTCCTGACAAGTGAAGAGACTGGAAAATAGCAGGAGAAGTAGGTGAAATCTTGTAGAGTTGAAGTGATGTTAGGAGAGTAAGCAAAACTGTGAAAAAAGAAGAGGTTGGTATTGCTAATTGCTGGAGCTTTTGGTTGTTTAATTTCTAAACTTTTTTCATAAAGCTGCTGTGTTACTTGCTCTTACTTTGTAGTTCCAAGGGCTCCTAGAGATGTCGTGCAGCAGGAGAACTCCTGAAATGGTTCGACTTAAGGGAACCTTCAAAGACTCTTTGCAGTAACACGGTTCTGTTGGTTAAGCTGCTGTGGCTGTAGCAGTGCAGGTAGTGTAGCTGTGCCATAGGTGGGTGCAAAGCCACAGCTGAGGAGGCCTCAGGTTTGAGTCCAGAAGTTTGAATGTACAGCAGAGGTCAAAGAAGGCTGGAACTGGTTGGGCTGGCAATGCAGCATCAAGTCTTCGTCATGTTGTGGTTGGAGGGTGTGTATTCTTGCACCGTTGTGTTCCTTCAGGCGAGGTCCCTTGCAGATTAAGCCAAGACTTAGTAACGAAAAAGGATGAGAATTAACTTAGTCAAATCTTCAATGTCCTAGTGCGAAGAAGGAGCTTGAATTATGAGGTGGAATAGTTACACTAGCAAAAATGCCAAATGTAGGTGTACTGCACAGGATATCTCATCCCTTGTTCTCTGCTTTGCTTCTCTTCACTATCACACTCCTTTCCTGGACTTTCTTATCTATTACATGCCTCAATCAGCATGTCATGGCCTGCAAGTCAGGGCATCCTGAAGAATGGCAAAATGTGATTATATGGAAACACGTAGTATTTAATTATGTGGAAATTAGTCACAATGTAGACATTTTAAGCTGGATTCTAATTTCTTGGTCTGGGGTTTTTGTTGTGGGTTATTTTGGCTATTCCTCACAGAAGAAATGTTAGACAACACAAATGACAGATTTTGGTATCAAAATCTTGTTCTAAATTCTTATGGGGTTTTTTTTGTGGTAACCTCATACACTTCCCATTTCCTGCTTTTGTTTCCTTCTTCCTGATTCTGTCAGACATTTTGCTTTTATTTGGCTTGTCCAAATAAAAGGATTAATTATAAGGGTTAATGGAAAACAGTTGTGTGAAACTGACTCTCGGATGTTATTAGCAAAACAAATAACAAAATGTGTATTGCCTCTGCTCTTTTATAAGCTGAGCATCAGAAGGGCATTTTTAAAATGCACCTTTTAATTTAAAACCGTGATTCATGTTTGAAGTGGGAGAGAGAGCTGAACCCTTCAAACTCTACCATATTCTTTCTTACTCTGTCACACGAAGCTACAGTGCAGAGCTAAGTGTCATGTAGCAAAACTTTAGTCTGTTTGGTATTAAACTAGTCTGGAAACTGTAGCACAACTCCTGGGCTATAGATCCTTCAGGAGTCTGTAAAAGTGTAATAGAGTAACAGACCTTTCTAGCCATGGCACAGCAGTTCATAAAGCACATTTACCCTTTCTGGTGGATTACAATATTTACATTTTCTTCCAAGGGTATTAATTTTATTCCGCAGTTTTTTGTCTTCGGGGTGGAAATTCAGATTTGCACTTTTTTGTTTAGGTGGGTTTAGTAAATAACTGATATGAGGAGTACTTAATGCCTTTATAGTACCTCAGCACTTTAAAAACATAACTATAAAAGGTTTCAAGGAGATTTGCATTCTCTTCCCTGCTGTTTGACTTGACCTTATTGTGCCAGACTGAGTTAACAAGATTGCAGGCCATCCATTTGTATTTTGGTGGCTTATCTTCCAGAAGAAAAGTAAATTAGTGTTTGTAGGCTTTGTAATCACAGACTTCACTTCTCACGTTCTCTCCCTTCCCCCTGCCCCTCTGTGAGGTTCTGCCAGGTATGTTTTCAGTGCCATAACTGCAGATACTGTTCAGCAAACTGTCACAGCAGCTACTGTGTCCCTGAAGGAATGTGTGCCTCTTCCACTATCTGATATAATGGAAAGAAACAGCAGGCCTTGCTTAAAAAAGCTCTAATCTTGTATTGCACACAGAGCATGCTCAGCTCAGTGTACAGATTTGCATTAATTGAGTTTTTTTCCCCAGGAAAGGTATTTGATTTACAGAACTCTTTTCTGTCTTTTT